ACGGTGGATGAAAAAATTTTAATATTAATGAATTACTATTATTGACATGTTTGACAATCAGCTACAAATAATGCAATCAAACAAAAAATGCTATCAAGCCGTCTGTTATATTTGCGCTGAATCTACTGCGAATATCTGTCTATGCGCGCTGGAGAAGTAAGGGACCGTCTAAAAGTTTTTTTTTTTTCACATTTGTTCTCACCAGCATGAGATGAAGATAACTTCAGTCATTCATAAAAATGTGTAAGATAGATTACTTTATGCTGTAATGAATGAAAATAACTTTTTAAAGGGGTCATGAACTGAGAAATCAAAATCCCTTGATCTTGTGACATTGTACTATAAAAAAAAGTTTCAGAACTCAAACTTTGTTAGTCTAAAAACATCTCATATTGAAGCCAATCTGCCAAAATGACAGGATGTGGAATATGCCACTTTATGATGTAATAGTGTGGCTATCCGCAGATGATCAGCGCCTGCTTCTACATCACTGCCTGTTTAGCTCCGCCTACCGATTCACACATGTATTGGGTAAATAACGAGAGAAATGCAGGTCTACAAAGAAACCAAACGATAAAGACGGATCCGAAGACAACAAGACGCACCTCAGTGCCAAGCTGTGGAAAAACACAGTTGCATTGCCTTCCCTCTGATCCTAACATTAGGAAAGAGTGGACTTTATTTTTAATGAAGTTCTAGAAGTATCAGTAAGAACTTGGTCCTTTGTTTACTTAATTTTACTGTGGATTCATTTACAAACCAGGCACAATTCGATGTAGGATTTTCAGAAACATTGAAACTAAAAGATGATGCTGTGCGACTATATTGGATCCGACAGTAATGTCACACCACACAAGTGTGAGTAACTGTTTTTATTACGTGGTCACTATTGCTTTGTCTGCTACTACAGATTGTTTGATATGTACCGTATTTTCATTTTTTAACCTAAATCACAGCAGTGTCCATCTGTGAAGGATGTAGGCTGTCAAACCTACACAACTAGTAGCCAATCTTAGCAGTGGGCGTTTACTTACGAGTCTACAATCCACCACGCCTATTCAAAGGACATAAAATAGCCTATTACTTCTCAATTATGATGTTTTTTTTTTAAATGTAAAAATCTTGATAACATTATAAGTGGACCTCAGAGAACAGTACAAAAAAAAAAAAAAAGGCATTTCACTACCCCTTTAAATATTATTTATTTATTTATTTACTGTGAACATGTTTTTCTTTGACCAATAAAATTTGATGAAATGACACATTTCAGTACTTTTTGGTGAAAAACTTCAAGATGAGTTAAAGATGTTAGGTACATGTCCTCTAAGTTGCACATAAGGGCTGAAATGTTTTTGAGAAATAAATTCAAAAAGTATTAAAACATAAATGCTGGCTTATGAAAAATTGAAAACAACTTCATAGGAATTTCAATGCACTTGTGAACAGCAGAATCATGTGTACTCAGTAACACATGCGCGTACAGAGACAAATCTTTATAAAACTTAACATTGGCAAGTTCATCTGAGGTGAAACATTTAGCTGTAGTGTATTTAATAATATTAAAGACAGACCTTACAGATATATGATAATGTTGTAAAGGCCAATCTTTGCCACCCATCAAAAGCTACTGAAATTTGAGGGTGAAAACTGATATACTTAAATTTGCAGCTAGAGTGTGTAAAACATTTTCTTACCATATTTGACAAATCAGTTCAAATATTAATATATATTATTAACACTTTTAATGAAAATAAACAACCTAACTTTAACCAAACGTGAAAACCGGAAAACTACAAGCTTTAATATATCATATTGTTTATGTTAAAACCTGCCTCATTAAAAAGGGAACAGAACATACAAATCATTTAAATATAAATAGATAGATAGATAGATAGATAGACAGATAGATAGATATGGACAATTGTCACAGTCACCTAAAAAAAACGATTACTCTTATTTGCAATGTAGAAACATGCATTTTCTATCAAGCTGCTTTGAAACTATATTTATTGCGAAAAGCACTATACGCATGCATGCATAAATAAATAAACAAATAAATTAATTAATGAAATTAAATGAAACAATAGTTCAGTTGTGATTTTCGTTTACTCAGCCATGTTTAACAAGGACATACACATTCATACATACATAGAAATTATTATTATTATTACTTCATTTATAGATTATATCAACGACTTGTTTTAGAAGGTTTCTGTATCAAATAAAACAGAAATGTTTAGGTTAGAAGCCTGGGCGAGTATACGTCAAATATGCTAAATAATTTGTAGACGGTCCCTTAAAGATCGTTGACGTCACCACCATCCATAGAGATCGATGCTTTTTTACGCTTTTATAAAACAAAACAGAGTTGTAGCTGACAGTCATACTTGGCCATTATAATTTACTAATACGAACCATTCTGCATACACCGTAAGAAAGTTATTGAGAGCAGAACTCCGAATATGTGAATATGAAACCAACTTTACCGCAGTCAGTATTATTTAGCCGATGGTATAACGAAGAAGAATGAATCAACAACTGGGAAAACAGGAAACCACATTCCCGGGTGCACATGCACATCACGTCCATCTCTATGCACGCCTCCTTTTGACTAACCTGGCTACAGTGTTTGCAAATCCCGTCTGCTGAGTGAGTGAGCTGCTGGTGTGCAGCAGAGCAGGGCAGGGCAGGGCTCCCTCAGTCACGTACAGCAGCACCGCAGTCGACTGTCCGGGAAAGATGCAGATGAGTGTATCTGCTGCCGCGCACCTCGACTTTGCTTTTTCCAGCTCTCCCTTAGAAAACTATGCAATCTTAACTGACTCAGGCTACACAGCAATAATAATGTTGGACGTTTTAATTATGTGAGTATACGGCGCGAGGCCTTTTCAAGAAATCACAGTAAACGTTTGGGTTATGTAAACCAAATAGCATCCAACCAAGCACCTCCCCACTTCCCTGCGCAACCCGCCCTCTCACTTTCTGGAAGCCTCACTTCCGCCTGCAGCCATCGTCACGCACTTCCCATTTAGCGCTGTCCCGCCTCATGAAAATATAGGCGAGATCTATGATTGGAATAACCGTTATAATCGAATCAGTATCCCACGAGAAAGAGTGTCCTGCTTATATTTAGTACGGCTTGTTTAGAACAGTTCGATATACAAGAAGTTAATGCTTACCCTATAAAGCGGTATCATATTTGATACGTGGTTTAAGGCCTTTAAATTATGAATATAATTAATAATTTGCTGAAAAACGTGCATAATCTTGAACACAATTTACCACATACCTGCCGTCTGATTGATAGTTCATACCTTTAGTAGCCTAAGTAAAAAGGACTTATAATAAATGTATTGCTGCGTCTCGATGTACCTACTTATACTACGCCCTTAAAGTATGTACTCTTTTGGTGAAGAAAAAGTACACACTTTTGAGTGTGTAACAATGAAGAACAAAAAAAATAGTAATAATAATTATTATTATTATTATTAAATAAATAAATAAAAATAATAGTAAAAGCATTTATAGTAAAGTAAGTTCTTACAAGGGGTAGCAAGGAGTTATAGGGCACTTAGCTCACTGAAGAAACTGGCAACTGTAGTAGCTTTTTCATTTGAAAGGGCATCAAGAGAAGCAGCAAAAATGTTAAGTTCATTAGAAAAGTGAGGAAAGGATGGAGGGGTTTTCAGAAATCTGCATTTATGAATGAAGTATTTAGCAATTTCAAAAAGGTTGTTAACCAAGTAATGTTGTGAACAATCTTTCTTAAGCACACCAAACTTAATTTGTTTATATTCAAGGGGATTTACACATGTAATTATACATGACATTTTACTGCACAATTGAGTCCAAAACAACTTTGAGTAATTACAATTAAAAAATATATGTTCAGTGGTTTCAATATCAATTTCACAGAACTGACCAGAGTTTTCTCCAATATCAAATTTTGATTTGAGAAATTCTTTAGATGGGTATATGTCATTTATTATTTTAAAATGAAGTTCTTTCACTTTAGGGAGATTTGGAAAGGTAAGATAATTCATCACCCAGACAAGGAGATGGGAGAGAGAATGTCACAGAGTAATGTGAAAGAATCCCATAATACCATGTTTTTTGGTATGGCATTTACAACATTGTAAAACTCTTTAGGATGACATACAAATCCATGTTTTAAACAAAAATCATTGTAATTGAGAACATTACCATAGTTGTCCATCATGTCCAATAGGAGTCAGTTATAACTAAATGCACTGGGTGGCGCTGTGGCGCGTGTTATCACTCGACTGAGGAAAGAGCTGTCCATCACTGCATTCACGACTGCAGGTAAGCGCAGCTGCAGCCCGAGTGAGCCGAGAAGAGAGCTAATCTGATAGCCAAATGATCTTGAGACATATGCTTCCTTTAAGATTCCTCGAGGGAGAGTGCTTTAAGAACAGAAAACACAAAGCGCTGTAAGAAACTTTGCCTAGCACACCGTTATCTTTGTGTCTCTCTTGAACGTCTGTGTCGACGCGCATTCTTATTGTCATCAGACTGAAGAGACAACTTTCATGTGGATATTATTGTTTTTCTCAACATTAACATGATGTGAGACAAAATAAACACGTACAGTATAGGTTTTCAACAAAAAGAAAACCTTGAGATATAATGTAACATTGTTGTAGAACATTGTTGTTATTGTTGTTTGTTATGTAATGGACTTTCATGTGAGAGGTTTTACTTGGTAACATCTGATTGTACCGATCTGATAATGGTTTGTAAATTAGAGTAGGTCTGATAAGAGAGTTATGACATGAGCGTGTCTATGACAAGTATCTATAATTCTGTCATGAAGTTTGTGGTAACATTATGGTTTTCTCTTTCAATGTTTGCTTCAAGGCCATAGAATGTAAATTTTAGTGCCGGGTTTAGGGTGAGGGAATATAAATGTTGTTGGAATGAGCTGTTTGTGTCACCTATATACTTCTCTTAGTAACATGTTAATCCATGGTTATCAGGTGTACATCATGTGGAGGGAATGGAGTTGCTTACGTCCTCAGAGTTGGAGGCAGTCAATGGGACAGATGTACGGCTCAAATGTACATTTAAATCTACACATCCTCTCTCCGAAGAAAGAGTCTCTGTATCCTGGAGCTTCCGACCACTCGGAAAGACGACAGAAGAATCGGTGAGACTGAATGGGTGTGGAGTTAATGTGTCTGAAGATCTTTATTTACTACTGGCTGAAATGAGGCTGAGTACAGAAAATGCCCTCTTAAAAGGCTGTTCAAAAGTCTACAATACAATTTTCCTTCTGACCCTTTCTCTCTATTATTCCTTTCTTTCACTTAAAAAAACAAAAAAAACAATTCCAACCTCATTTCAGTGGGTCATAGTCCTTCCTGCCTATTTAACTTTCCAATTTAACAACCTTTCTCTCTCTTTCTTTTATTCTGTCATAGATTTTTCACTACCAAAAAAGTGAATTTCCCCCGAAAACAGGCATGTTTAAGGGTCATGCTGTATGGTCTGGTGATATAATGAAGGGTGACGCATCCATCACGCTGCAGAATGTGCAGCTCAGATTTAATGGTACCTACAGCTGCCAAGTCAAAAATCCACCCGACATCCAGGGCTTTGTAGGCGAGATCAGCCTCAGAGTCATTGAAAAAGGTAAGAACAGATGCTGTGCCGCTTAAAATCATTTACTCACCCTTCCAAACCTGTGTGGCAGTGAAGGTGAAGGTAGTATAAGCAGGATATTGTGTTCTTTCTTTGATCCCAGCAGCTGAAGGACAGAAGTATCTAATAAACTGGGCTAGAATAGCAGACAGTCTTCTCTGAGAGTGTTATGGTACAGACAACAAGAGTGTAAGATAAACAATAGAGAGTGATATTCTGGCCATTCTCTGATAAAGGTTCACATCCTGTTATTTGGACAGATTTTCTCACCCTTCATTTCGGTTTAAAGTAGGGGTGTGCACAAATAGTGGAATATTCGATCTGTAATTATTATTCGAAAAATAAAAACCCTATTCTAATTTTACTTCGTGTTGCTTTGCTGGCAGAGTGGTAGTAAATGCAAGGATTCCATGATCAATCCGAAGCACGCAAACTAAAAGTCAGTTATAACTAAATGCACTGGGTGGCGCTGTGGCGCGTGTTATCACTCGACTGAGGAAAGAGCTGTCCATCACTGCATTCACGACTGCAGGTAAGCGCAGCTGCAGCCCGAGTGAGCCGAGAAGAGAGCTAATCTGATAGCCAAATGATCTTGAGACATATGCTTCCTTTAAGATTCCTCGAGGGAGAGTGCTTTAAGAACAGAAAACACAAAGCGCTGTAAGAAACTTTGCCTAGCACACCGTTATCTTTGTGTCTCTCTTGAACGTCTGTGTCGACGCGCATTCTTATTGTCATCAGACTGAAGAGACAACTTTCATGTGGATATTATTGTTTTTCTCAACATTAACATGACGTGAGACAACAAACACGATAAACTGTGTGTGTGTGTGTGTATAACAGTGTGTATGTGTGTGTGTGTATATATATATATATATATATATATACACACATACATACATACAGTATAGTTTACACACGTTTTCAACAAAAAGAAAACCTTGAGATATAATGTAACATTGTTGTAGAACATTGTTGTTTATAATGCTAATCATAGGTTTGTTCAAAAATGGTGACAAAAACTTTATTTAAAAAAATAACGTTTTTCTCGTTAAATGTCATTTAAATAAAGGAGTAGCCTATTCGAATATTAGTTTTTTTTATGCGCCCAAATATTCGATTACAATATTTTTGAAAAATGTCCATCCTTAGTTTAAAGTACTTTATAGCCATACTTATTTTATGCAGTATTTCCAAATCATCAGTATATACAATAAACACTGTGACAGGAAAAAGCAATAAAACAAGATGCCAGTACTGGTAATAAAAGTAATACTAATAGTAATAAGAACATACAATTTAAAATAAACAGAATAGAGTAAACATTCAATAAGGCAGTCAAGCATTAAGAATACTTTCTCTTTTCTTATAGTTTCATTCTCTGAAATTGGAATACTGGCAATAGCTGTGGGTGGATCCATTGGTGTCGTTCTCCTGATCCTCATCATTTATATTGTTGTGCGGGTGTTCTGGAGACGGGACGATGACATGGATGTTGAGATGGAGGACCACAAATGAAAGGATCAGGTGCTGTGAGAGAGGATGCCTGACTCAGGGTTTTAGTCAGTCTGTGCTGTTAGTTTTCTGTCAGGACTAACCCATTTCAACTACTAGTGATACATAACATTTTGCCACAGGATTTTCTAATTATATGAAATAACAGAGTATCTAGATGGCAAATTGATCTGTAGAAGCTTACTTTCTTCTACTGATAATTTTACCAAGATATGGTTTCAGTTATCATAACTTTTTTTTTTGACTTTTAATCTATGAAAGCTTAAGGTGAGGTAAATTTTTATACATAAAGTGAGATCATCTATCCTTTGTATTCTTAAAAATATGAGATACCAAGTTTTTATGTGTATATAAACTCTGACTTCATCGTACGTTCATTAAATGTGGTTCACAAACCTGTGCAGCAAAAAAAAAAAAACTATCCTTTTAAAAGAGCAATATAATTTCTAAACCCAGTAACAACTTTTGTAAATATATATATAATATGGATGGATAAAAAAAAACTGCAGAAAAAAAAAAATCAAACAAATGTATGCTTGGACCTTTATTGTTATTTGTACTGCCCATCTCATTGCATCAACCTCAAATCTTCAGTGTTCTGGGATTGTTTGTTTATCAATGCTGCCGATCAGGATTTTGCTATTTAGAAAATATCTTTCAAGTGAGTAAATTCATCCTTTAATCCTACTTTGAAATGAAATACTGTAAATATCTCTGTTCATCTCAAATGAGTTTTTATCTTCTTGTAAGTTTTATTACATTTTACAAATATGTTTATGGATTTTTTTTAATCGACGCATTTTAAAAGTAAAAAAAACAAAAAACTTTTTGATGTTTTTTTTTGTGTGGATGTTGTGTTCTCTTTGAAATTGGTAAATCTCTTTGACATGGTAAAGCTAGTATAAAAAAAATAATCAAAAAAATTTCTAACACCTACCCCCACTGAGTCTGATTGTATGCCAGTTTATGTTGGACTTCTTTTGCAAGGATTAAATTGTAACTTAAATTTAGCTATCCTAATTTTGGTTGTGCTTTCATTAAATTGCCAGATTTTATGACTAGTATACTGTTTATAAACGAGGATTAAACATTTGATCTGGTTATAGATAGATAGATAGATAGATAGCATGGCAAGGCAAGTTTATTTATATATACACATTTCATACACAATGGTAATTCAAGGTGCTTTACATAAAAGGAATTAAAATAATCATAAAAATAATAATAATAAAAAGAATTAAAACGGTTAAGAATAGAAAGAGATTATACATAAAATACAGTGCAATCAGTTCGGATGTAGCACAGTGCTCATTCACTAAATGCACAGCTAAATGAGTTTTGAGTCTGGATTTAAATTTGGCTAATGTTTTAGCACATCTGATCTCTTCTGGAAGCTGATTCCAACTAGATAGATGTGTGTGTGTGTGTGTGTGTGTGTGTGTGTGTGTGTGTGTACTGTATTAATAAATATGTATTAATAATGTATTATTATGTATTAATAAATTTGTTGGTGGTTGAAAAAGCACCCTCTGGTGGCTGTATAAGTCTGTCATAAATTAGTGATAACATGAGTTAAGAGTTTCATTCAATACAGTGAACAGACAAAGATCCTCCCCCCTCAAATGGACAAACATTGCACAGGCTCCTTTTTTAAATGTGGCTGTAAACGGAACATGCATGTGTGTTTATTATTATAGTAACACTTAGCACACTGAGAGGATATAGATTAAAAGCATGTGTTTGAGAGACAAGACACAGTATATCACTGCTTGTGTTACATTACATTGATCTGAGGTTAGTCTTTAGCCTGTTTATTATAAGAACATGCTGTGTTCTTTTCTGTGTGTGTGTGTGTGTGTGTGTGTGTGTGTGTGTGTGTTGCACTAAGATGGATGAGGGACTTCTGAGTTCTAGACTTAAATGGAGTAAGTGAATTTATAGATTTTCAATTGCTTCAACCAAAAAGAGAACCTGACTTCCTGTACGTGAGTGAGTGAGTGTTTGTGTGTGTGTGTGTGTGTGTGTGTTTGCTCACTCACTGCGGTATACCAGAGAGTGCTGAAAGAGGCTCGTCCCCTGCCAGACTCTTTGCTGCACCAGCAGAGGACATCTCTCTCTGTGAGTGTGTGTGTGTGTGATGAGAAAGAAATGCAGCATTGGTGGGAACTGGTCCAGAAAGCAGAAAAAAAACCATGCCACATTCAGTGCAGCACAGTGCTGCAGAGCAGCCTCAAAACGGAACTTAGAACTCCAAACTGCAGCCCTCATCCCACAAACACACACACTCCTGCACTGTCCCAGTGTCTTAAACTCTGATGATATCAGTATGGATATTTTTGATGCCACACTTGTCGATACTGTATATGGATACTTAATGTGGCATATGGCGTGACACACAATACTTTGTCAAAAACTTAATCAGCATTTTGATAGTTTTTTTTTTTTTATAATTATTTGTGTTTTATGAGCTCATTTTATTTGAGAGAATATATGAAATATTTTGGAATTTATTTGTCATAGTTTGAAATGACTTGCATATTTGCAGCATGCATATTTGAAATGAATGCAAAAGCGGTGTTGAAAATTGGTTAAAACTATATATATACTCTTCCATAACAATATTATACATTTAAACTTCAAATCTTCATATTGAAGTGCAAGAGAGTGCGTCTTTAACTTCAACTCTTAATTTTGCGTTTCTGTTTTCAAGCTTCCACAAAACATTGAAAAAATGTGAAACACTTTAGTTTAGGTGCCAATTCTCACTTTTAACTAGTTGTTTATTAGCATGCATATTACTAGCATATTGGTTATTTGTTAGTAATTATAAAGCACATATTAATGTCTTATTCTGCAGGACCATATTTTAGATCCCTTAATCCTACCCCATGCCTACTTAACAACTAAGAAATAAATGAGGATTTAGTTAATAGTGAGAATTGGTCCTCAAACTAAAGTGTGACCCAAAAAATTTCATTTTAAAAAATGTGGTAGCACTTTGTGTCCATTACACATTACATGTACTTAATGTAGTAATAACAGTAAATTATGGATAATTACATGCAACTAACCCTAAACCAAACCCTAATCCTAACCCTATAGTAAGTTCA